AGAATTGTTCTACTACTTTCGCTATTTTCTTCTTTTCTGTGACTAGATGTTCTAATTTATCCCACAATTTTATTATTTTAGTTGTTTGCTGTGAAATATTGTATTCAATATCTTCATACCTCTGTTCTCCACAGTGGTGTTATTAATTTGTTTTGTATTATATTTTCTTACATTCTTTCTTGCCTCTCGTTATTTTCCTCGTTAGAAACTTAGAAAGAAAAAAAGAGGGGCTCTAGTTTGACTTTTAGCGTTTTCTGAATTTGTTGTTGATTAATTTCAAGAATATCTAGTCAGAATCTTGTTTTTATTGTTGATCTCCGGCAAGATGCCGAATATCGACTATGCATACCGACGTAACAGACTCTCTCGTTTCTGTGACGTAATCTACAGTTTCCAATGTTTGATGGATCCCCTTTTCTGTTGTGGGTATGATGTGTATTTCAAATTTATTTTTCATTTCTAAAATTATGTACATAACTCGGTTGGGAATTGAGCTCATTTTTGTTACTTCATGTTTTAACTTTTTGTTTTTTAGGATAGCGGTTCCTCCCAGAGTGGTCTCTGTGTTGTTTTGATATAGTAGGTAAGAGGCCAGATTTAAGGATGGTGGCTTTGTTCTTTCATTATTGTTTTGAAGAGTCCCTGGATTTCCCATTTGATGTTTTCTAGTTCCTGATATAAGTAGGTATGTTCTGTGTGGTTCATCATTCATTGTTTTTATGTTACAAGTTGCCACTATCAACTGTTGAATTGCGCTAGGTTTTAATTTGATATTTTGTTTTTCAACTAATGGTAGTATTACATCGAGAAATATACCCTATACATATTTCATTTATCTGTTGACCAGCTTTCATATCTAATCACTCTAATCGATAAAATAAATATCTTCCACCTGTACTAATACGAATAAAGATAAAATTAGAAGTAATGTTTTCTATAATACCGGGTGGGCACAATCTGTTTGGGTGTACAGAACAAGCTCGAAATAATCTATAATTATAATATGAACAAAACTGCTGATACATTGATTGATTGCGTTGATTAGCTATTTGGTAACTATATGAAACACACATACATTGCTTGCAGCTTTGAACATAATTTTTATCTCTTGAGATATTAATTAAAAGATTGTTTATAGTATCGAAGCCAAAAAGAGTACCTACTAAAAAGATTTAAAAATCTTGGTATTAAAAAATATATTATTAAATTTGTTTGTAAAAAATCATTATCCATTTTTATTTTTTTAGGGATTTGTTATCCCTTTGAACTATTTTTTACTGTTCTTCTGTAGGTAAGCAACTGGCTTGGGCATAAGTTTTCAGTTTTGAATTTGTTTATAACTGGCGCAGTCGGTAGGATTGTACAGAAGTCCTGATTCGGTCGTGTCTCTTTCGAAAAGCCGTGAATCGATTTGATGATTTGATTGAAAACATTTGATTTTCTACTCTTCAGTGCAATCCAGAACAATCCTCCGAGCATCCGACCACAATACTGGCAGAATCAGTAAGGAAGCAAGACATTGCAGAAAACGCACTAAGTGCCATTTCGTTCGTCCCTTTATTTCCTCTGTTTAAGGCATTAATACGGATAATTTAATTTGGCATATTAAACGCAACTTTTAGATTTTTTAGATTTAGATTCTTTGTTGCAAAACAAACATTTTATGATCGACGAATTAATAAATAATCTTGAAACTCAGTAAAAAATAATTCACCAAAAATGAATCCCAGAACTTCTTCTGGAACCGCAAAAGTCATTGTCGGTAATTCTTAAGAAGTGATTTTGCTCAAAGAATTAGAAAGGAAAAAATTATCAAGTCAAACCGCTTTTGTTGCCGGTGGTAGGTCAAAATCAAATAGTTTAGAGGATGCTATTTCATAAAAGCTGTTTAAAATTCACGTCATCGCTTTCGATAATCGGGGCTCACTTTGAGAGTACGAGAAAAATATTGAATTTGTCAGGAATAACAAGTATGGCAGATAGGTGCACCAGAGCCTTCCAGGGCTAAGTAAATACCCAGGAAGGGCTACAGTCCCACCACGTATGTTGGATGCACAAAACACACGGACACATTAAACCAATGGATTACTGAACACCGGTACAAATTGAGGAGGAGTTAATTAACCGAATACGAGAAGCTGTTCGAGAAGAGTGCACAATAAGGTAATTACACAGGCACTAACTTTTTTGGAGTTAAAGACAGGAATGTATATTTATTCGAGTACATCAATTCGAGCTTACGATGACATTAAAAAACAATTTCTCGTTGACAATATTGATATTTCGTAAACGTACGTTCCTACATTCAACGAATCCTGTTGAATTTACCGTTTATGCTTGCCTATCTTATCTTAGTCACTTTCTCTATTTATCCATGGTTACCGGAGTTTTTAATAATTGCTTAGCAACAACTATTTACGGAATGTTAATGAGGCAAATTACGTTGGAAAACATGGTTGCCGTCTTTCTGATATAGTTTTTGTACAAATTTCTCAGTTTTTAATAACAATATTTGTTTTAAACTATTTTTTCTGTACTCCTAAAACACCCACAGACCACGTCTCCAAAGGAATGTCGTCCATTTTGAATCACCCTGTATGTAAATAAATTTGAAAATTTTCGGAAGCTTTATGGTAATGATCAGTGAAAATATAGACGTGAATCACCCTGCTCAAAGAAGTAATCAACCAAATTATTTCAAATACTTACTCTTTGCGTTAGTGATTTTTTGAATACATTCAAAAGTACTTAATGCGGTGTTGAAATTATTTGAAGAGCAATAAAATTTTAATATTTTTTTTCTGCAGAAGAGACGTACAAGTGCACATATGTACTTGTACTCCCAAATTTTGATGATTTTATTTATTTCATGTTATTCAATGTTTCACTATTGAGAAACCGCCACTGCTTTTTCAACCTTTAACATAGACAAGTTCTGATGTAAACACTTCTACTGTTAATCGTATACTAGATAAAATTCTTATATGTAAATATAAATAAATATGAAAATACAAATAATAAGTCAAAATAAGTAATGGTGGGGCAAAAGCTGCATATCCTTGATTGTTAAAAAACGCTATGAACATTTTCTATGTTGTTTTAATATCTGCAAACATAAAAACGCTCCTTTGCAGTTACTATAAGATGAACAGCTTTTTATATCCAAGCCAAGATAAAACGCTATTTTTTTTCGTTGAGTGTTTATTTTTGGCAACTTCCTATCGCATATTTTAAAGCTCTCTTAAGATATGTTCATTAAAAAAACTAAAATTATCTATTAATTAACTGATCAAATGTAATTGACGCCCCCTGTACAGCTGCGTCACGCGACTTATTTTCCAAGCAAGCCGCTTCTCACTTGAAACAGTGCGTGTTTATAGGGAAAGCGTACAAGCCAGATCATCGAAATTTATCCAGCCAGGTCGGAAAACGTAAGTTTTTTCTATAATCAATATAAATTTTTTATTGATGGAAATGTACTTAATATTTTTTAATTGGAGTGAATATGTTCTTTAATATTGAGCCTCGAAGTTTCTGTGTAAAGTGAACAATAAAGTTCAAGTGGGTAAATTCGCCTCTAAGGGTTATTGAAGGGCGCGATTGACCTCCAAAGGGTAGAGTGCGGTTGAGACAGACATAATTAAATGTGTATTTTACGTAGGTATATGGTACAATTTGATAACGATATTACCTAATCAGCTTTTATCTTTATCAAAGTGTACGGGCTTTTATGTTTTTATTAATTAAAATTACGTGAGAACGTGAAAAAATAAGACAGTTGCTATTGTGAAAAATATAATTTAATGTTGAAAATATAATTTTTGATTTTCGGAAACCATATTCTACTATTCAAAATATGAAGTTTCTAGTGTCCGAAAATTCTTAATGAAAGAGATTTTTTTCTTGGCTTAAGTGGACAAGTAATTTTTGGGATAAGAAAAAAAAATTGGGATTTTCTGCTTTTGGCCGAACGCCGAAAATATACTGCATTTTTTACACAAAAACTTTCAAATACAGAGCCCAAGTCTCGGATAATTATAATAAGTGAAGATAAAAATAATGAAATTTTCTTATAAATTTAAGTAGATTAAAAGTAACTTTTTTCGATCTTTGGCCATTTTCACTCAAGTCCCACTGTAGAACAAACCGGATTCTGCAAGTGTGATGTGAAGTGTGAGTTTAGAAATGGCAAATTAAACTAGGTGAAAGCAAATCTTGTTTTCCAGCATAAAATTCCCAAAAAATATATCTATATTAAAACTACATATTCGAAATCAAAAAATTTATTTTTAGCTTATTGCAATTTTATTAATGCACATATTCACAAATCATATATTTTTAAGAAGTTGCTTGCTGTAAAGTAAAACGTTAGACAAAGCGATTGAAATCTACAAAGCGCTTATTTAGACAGCATAACCATGGTATTTTGCATATTCTTCAGGACAAAACATGTCCATGTGATTTATTGCCATCGAAAATCTGAAATACATCTATGGACAAAACGAATAACACACAAGAACATGAAAAAAAAACAAGAAGATAACAAAACATAACACAAGCAATACATATGAGAGTACCTATAATAATGCGTCTTAGCGGACTCAAGTTATAGGACATTTTGCCTTTAAAATCGGTTTTGTCTTGCACGTATTCAATGTTGGCAAATTATATCTGAAACACTCTGTATAAGTACATGCATGTGCAATATGTTATATCAATAAGTACGTTTATTGTCAGTAAATGTGTTATGTAAACATATTGTTCTGAAACGAGCTGTATATTGACTCAAATCTGTGTTCCACAAACCGCAAATGCAAAAATATACGACTCGCAAATTTCAACTTTTCTATGTGAAACTGGTCACGTACTCATCTCGACACATTGATTTTTTCTACAAAACGTGCGAAACATAATTCGCGATTAGGATTTTTTTATAGACTGATTCATAACTTATGCTATGTGTATGATGTTGTTATTTTAATATTCGAGCAATACGGTTGTTAGCTTGGAACGTTCCTTAATATTGGCAAACATTTTTTATTTATTCTATTTATTAAAAGCAGTGATATTTTGTCTCATCCGCATCGTCATTAGGTCTTTTTCTCCGCTTCATTTTTATCGAAGTAGAACTTGGTAGAACTAGAACTTTTATCAACTAACAGATTCATTCAATTTTTTTTAAATGCTTTGACATTTATTTTTTCGTACATATCAATTATCCCCTTTCAATTTCTTTTCTTTGATAAACACAGAAGAAACTTTTTTATAGGAGGTCTGCCATATAAAATATATAAACGTAATTGCATTATGAAGAAGTTTAAAATGAAAAATTAAGTAACCAGTGGTAAAAAGAAAAAAAACTTTTTCAACTACCAAGCTTTTGGCAATTAATTTTTTCCGCCTTCTTCAGGGTTGGAAGAGTCATTACAAAAATCAATCAAACAATTAGCTATGAAACAAGCGAAGCTCAAAGATTTTTACTGATGATCATCAGTCTTAGTCGGAAAGCACGGGAGATCACTTCGCCCACTGCCTCATCGCCTTTGAAAATGTCCACCGCAGTTGTGGACAAAACGTCAGGAAGAAATTCCGATAGACCACGGCTTCAAAGCCCGGAAAACATTCCTAAATGTAATTTAACCGGCCGTGAAAGCCTTCATAGTCTGATGATATAAAAAAGTTTAACATTTTACTTCACACCAATGGTTCGGCCTTTGAGGGATAAGGGGTGAATGTTAAATTTTGATCATTCATGCGCAGCAATATTTATGGGAAGTCATACAAATTTGAAAAGAATCCACGAATAATCAAAAAACGGCATTAGTTTTTCATGGCTAATGCTTCCTGAATTTTTTGCGTTTCATGGTGTATGGGAATAATATGAGTAAGTTTTATAGGAAATATAACTCAGGAATGAATTCCTTACGTTCAGATTTGAAAAACTCGTCTGGCAGCCGGATTTAAAAAAAATGTAGATATAATTTTGGAACCATACATTTAATATATTTCCATTATCAATTCGTACCGGTGTATCATTTTTAAATTACTTATGTAACACCCTTATTTTTAAGTTTTTTCAAAAAAAGTAATTTGAAAATTGTTGTTTCAAATACTTTTATATACAGTTAAAATGACAGTATCAAATTAAGAATCACTCTGTATGCCTACTGGTATAAATATGTACATTGTAAAATTAATTTTTTAAACACCACTTTTACTACAATGCAAATACCAAACACAATCATTGGATGCATTATTTTTTAGAATGTCTGCAGCTGAAGTGACGAAACCGTTGCCAAGACCTCAATTAAGAGGTCTTCTGCGAAGTTCCATTAAGAGAAACCTTATTTCTGTGGCCATTACGATCACCACCGCTGCTGTTCTAATGAAATTTGTACACAACGATGGAAGGAAAACAGCATATGCCGAATTTTACAAGTAAGTTTTTGAACCTATTAATTTTACTGCAAAAATGCATATGACTGTATTTTTGAAATAAATGAAATCGTAAATTTGTTATTCACATGAATAATCTGAATTAGAGAGTATTCAATTTATACAGGGTGGCCCGTAAGCACATGATCAAAAGGGGGCTGCGATATTCTCTGGAGCAATCGATCTGACCTAAATTTTATTACATCGGGAGAATGGTACGATGAATTTCAATGAAACTCGCTGTGAATTTGTTCCTATGTAAGACTCAGTTATTATTGAGTTTTCGAGAAAGTGTTATAGGGACTTGACCCACTAATTTTTGCTCTAGAACAACCTCGTAAAATGTTGCTCGCTCCATTTTCGGGTACCCTGTATATATAATTAAAGTGTCTAAACTTACAAATTCGACTTGCGATATTTAATTAATTTTTAGATATAATTGATGTATGTTTGTTTAGGAATAACGTTTGTTTGTATTTTAATATGTGTATGTTGCGCACAAAAGCAACAAACTGAAAACTGTTTTTTCGTTAATATGTATCGAACAACGTGGCAATCTACAATAATACTTATGCCAATAATTGTTTAATTTCAGAAACTATGACATCGACAAGGAATTTGAGAGAATGAGGAAAAAGGGCCTGTTCGATTCCTGTCCGAGCGATTGAGCTGAACGGTGAACAAATCCAGCGAACCAAAGCGCGGTTTTAGTGTACTGTGTATCATAGAATAAAGAGAAAATAATACCACAAGTACATAATTTTCAAATAACTCCTAGCTCGGTCAGTAATCGCGAGTTCAAAAGTCCCACTGGCCCACTGGTGGCTAAAATTATAACTACAAGTTCAGTAGTAATTTGACACTTGTTTCCTTGACATTTGTGTCACATTGATCTTTACATCTGATTGCGGTTTGTTTTGTTTCCTTCTAGTCAACTTTTGCAAGCTTTTAAAGAAATAGAAACAGATCGAAGAGTGTGTAAGTATTGTTTTATGTTATAAATGTCATCAACTCCAATAACTAAACAAGTCTGACCAGTCTCAACTGTCACTCGACGAGTAATTTGACGTTTCTCAGCGCCACCACCGGTAGTTGAACACGCCAATTAATCTGACAGGAAAACATTGAACAGAAAAGTTTTAGGAAATTGAAATGACATAAACTTGTGTTTTTTTAAATGGAAACCATATTCTATTATGCCTTTATTACAAAGAACATTTTATTACGATTTCAGTGATCGTTTGGTTTTTTAGAAAATGAAGTGTCTGCGAATGATTTTTACATCCTTAATGTAGTTGATCGAAGTTAACCATGGAAAATAGTAAAAGAGCGAGATTAGTTGTAACAAAAAACTCAGAAACGAAAAATACTTTACAAGTTCGGAATTTTGCGCTCAGTAACGAAGAGTGCGCTATAAATGCCGTCAAAATTTTGAACATCACTCATCGTTGCGCTCAGTGCTACGGCTACGGGACACATTATGCAACGCATTTTCCGAAAATAAATTTCTCAGTAACGAAAAATAATCTAAAAGTTCGTCGTCAACATTTTTTCAAACCTTCAAACATTCATTCTAACCAAATGCAATCCTAAATTTTGCGCGCTTCATAAATGTTCATTTGAAAATGAAAGCTTTTACGCAACTGCAGACTTCCAACTTCCAAAGTAAAGCCAGTAGAAACTTGAACGATCGACATTCTGTAGAAGTTTTTTTAAATAAAATTTTGGCAATAAGTTGCACCTAAATGCCTGATATTCAAATTTCGTGTGACTTTTTGTGACAAAGCTACCAGAATTTACTCATGCACGTTGTTATAACTGAATCGAATTATCAATTCTTTATCCAATGATATAAAAAAACGAATCTGTCGCTCAAATGGTTCTTAGGAACGTCAAAGAAACTGGCACGTTTCAGTCGATTTCGCAGTTAAAAAAAAGGCAAAACTAAAACTCTTGACTTTTTTTGATAAAAAAAAACATAAAATTTGAACCCATATTTGCATATCTGAAACGGTTCTTTGGACCCAAGGTTGATGCTTCTTGTATTGAATACTAGAACCCAAATTTCCATATCTGAGCGATTCTTTAGAGAAAAACTTCAGATTAGCTTGATATAAAAATACAAAGCCTCCCAAAATACAGAATCCCAATGTTTAAAAATCAACTACCAAAGAATAGCTCAATGGATATCCAATCGACGCTACGAGTCAGTTTATGAATATGGGACTAAAAGTTCTACATGTACAGTCTAATTTGAAATTTAGAGAAAAATGTTAAATACAAAAGTTGGAAATATTAACGTCTAGTTTATTTTAAAATAACACCAATTAATACAGGGTGTCTCAAATTCAAGTGGCAGACCAAACTTATCTTTTTTTTAATCAAAAGCCGTACTAATTATTACATATTCGAGCTATTCGTACAATTCTAGGCCCATTCCATATAAATGTTCTATAGTGATTTTCAACTGTTTTTGAGTGAATACCAATATTGATCGAACTTTGTCCACTCCGTTTTTGCAGCTCATTTGAAATTTAGAGCAAAACATTTTATGCAAAAGTTGTAGATATTAACGTCTAGTTTATTTTAAGATAGCATCAATTGCTACAGGGTGTATCAAATTCAAGTGCCTGACCAACCTCCATTTTTTATAAATGGAATGTCCGAACATTTAAATGGTTATTAACTATATGAAATAAAAAGTGCGCGATTCCATTTTGTATGTTTCTACCGCCACTTGAGTTTGAGACACCCTGTATCAACTGGTATTACCTTACAATAAACTAGACATTAATATTTAAAACTTTTGCATTTAATATTTTTCTCTAAATTTCAAATTAGATGTTAAAACGGGCTGGCCAAAATTCAATTAACATTGGTTATTAACTCAAAAACAGTTGAGAATCAATATAGAACGTTTATAGCGAATAGGCCTAGAATTTTACGAATATCTAGTTTGGTCTACCACTTAAGTTTGAGACACCATTTATCAATTGGTATTATCTTAAAATAATCTAGATGTTAATATCTACAACTTTTGTATTAAACATTTTTTTCTAAATTTGAAATTAGATACAAAAACGGGGTGGCCAAAGTTCAATCAATTATCCTATACATGGCAACCAGGGGTAACACTGTACACACATATTTGAAATCAGCAAAGCAATGAGGGAAAAATATATAGCATCCATAAAATTTCAGTTGCTGGTCGGAAAACTAAACTCAGTTCAGGCTTAAAGATTTATAGATTAGAAATAATTCTTACCAGCTTTCTGCAATCTGGGGCGCCACCCTCCATGTTCTAACCATTAATCCCCAAGAAGTTCACTACACTCACAAACTACCGCACTTGCCATAAGAGCCCCAATGATTCTATTTTCCATCTAAGAACGCGATTCACACGACACAAAGGGTCATCGGCCGATTTTGTTCTCTATCGGTAGCAAACTGAACATTCATACTCTTTTTCGCGAAAAAAAAATACACCGAACTACCGAATAAACATGATAATTTAATCGTTTAATTGTTCGCCCTTTCGATGATTCACGCTTTACTTGGCAGTTCGATTTCAGTTTGTATATTGTCGACATTTTTGTTGAAAGTGACTGTTTGCATTGCAATATTTCCAAAGGCAAATTTCACGTTCCAACTTCACGAAAGTCAACAATAACTAAACAAAAAACGCTCCAAGCGCCGATCTTTCACTAATTTAACTTTAAATTTAGAGCCATGTATATTTGTCTGAATTTCGCTCAGCTGCAGTGATTAATGCACAACGCCAAAACTAATATTAATCACCGAATTACTTATCATAACTAGTTAATTAATGAGGGTATTTCGTTTTTACTGGGGGTAAGAACAGCTCCCTTCGATCATCAAAGTCATCGCTATCAACCCCAAAGTTGATTTGAATTTCCAGTGATTTACTGCGATAAAAATGTACCAAGATATAAACTGCACTGTTTTACTAAAACCAAGAACATCAGCTGCAGGAACGAAAGAAAACAAATCATGATATAAATGTCAAGGTATTTCTATTTAACAATGTATATTTTATAATCAACCTTTCCACAATCTACAATTAAGAACATTACAAGTCAAATTGTGTTCTGCGTAAGGCAACTGGAAAGCCTAGAGTTCGAATCCGACCATACAAACTTAAACGTCTTCCTATAAAGAATGGTGGTTTTTCAGAAAATATGATCAAAACGCTTCAAATTCTGCTACAATTTCATTTACCCGCAATCTTTATCTTCTCGATAATATATCGAATGTACGATTGATCATCAATTGGTACTTTCATAAGCTTGACATATTTCAAATCAAAGCTACCTAGACTGGGTAGGTGAACTAACTAAATACAACATTTTGATATTTTAAGTGCTTTACACGCCAGAGCCTTCAAGGAATTATTGAATAGATGAAACAAATACATTGAAAACTTGAGTTGCTAATGATCAAAGATAATCGGCAAATGAAAATCGGCATAGTTATAATTTTTCTCCAATTTAACTAACAGTCAACTAAAAACTAAATCAATTAAAAAATAATCCTATTCTCCCACCGAGTTCTGCAGCAAGTCAAAGAAAGGAAACATTCATTCAGTAATGCTTAAGGTAACAACTAAAATAATAATTTATTTAAAAAATGTAGCAAATATACATTCTAAAGTACAAGTAACTAAACGTACTTATTCAACGTGTAGTGAAAATATGTGTAAAGCTTCAGTTTTTCTAAACATTAACATAATGTCTAAATTCAGACCCAAATTTCTACACCTTTATACACAAAATAAATAAAAATGCACATCGGAACAGTGCTGGCAAAACTATGCGAGTTATTTACACACGAAGTGTGTAAAATCGTAATTTCTTAATAGTCTGGTCGGATTCGGAACCAACACCCTTGATGCCGTAATATAAATTATAAATACAAACAAATTACATACAAGTACAATATAACTAAGCTAAACAAAAACAATGTCATAACAACTTTGTACAATAGAGTACTTACTTGAGTTGAGAATTTATGTGGTTTAGGAGCCCCGCTGTGTTTCATGAATATATCTAGCAAAATGTAAAGCTGTTGCAAGACATTGCAAATTGGCAGTGCATTTTCGAAAATAAATTCTATGGAAACAAACTTGGGTTAACTCAACTAGTCTTGCTAGCTGCTGTTAGTTAAATGATACAAATTTTAAATAGTTTTAGACTTAAAAAAAGAAACTATATTCAACTATATGCAACAAAAGCCCAATTCAGCCTTCCTAAATTACATAAGCTCGATTGTCAAGTAAATCCCAGTTTCCCTTACGCAGAAAACGTTTGAAGAAAATAAAAAGAAAAAATACTTAAAATATATTGTATAATATATTATTATGCAAAGTATAGCTCCGTATGTAAAATACCACATGTACAATAATATTTATTAATATACACCTCTGTTTACTATGAATATACGCTATAGCTTCTTAATTTTATATATACTATGTACATTTTTATTTAAATTTGCCTAAACTATATACAGGTTCTAGATTTTAGTTGGTTTTTGCTTTGCGCGAGAACACTTATCATTGACCAAATGTGCCGGAAAATTAACTCCATACGGTTTCGTGTAATAATCATAAATATAAGCTATAACAAAACTGCAACTTTACAATAAATGCTACTTAGAATTCATACAAACAAATTTTCGTTTCCATTAATGAGAAGCCAATAATATTGTAAATCATTTGAAAATTTCAAAATACCATGGAACTTTGAAGACACTAGGAAATGTATACAACTGATTTTGATGATTTCTCTTGTTGCGCCAAAAATTGCGCCAATCTGTTTTCACACATGAAAGGTAATTCACACTTTAATACTCAGAAGATTTTTCGATACTCGGTTGCTCTAAATGGGGAGTGACAGATAAATTATAGCGAGTGTAATACATTTGGACTTCATTGATATTATGCATGGCTTCCAGACAGTCAAGTTATAACAGAGGCTCTTTTAGCGAGTGTGGGATGCTAAGGAACATGTGGAAAAAAGTTTTTTCAAAATCATTTCAGACAACCTAATTTTTTTTCCATGAATTAAAGACTAGATAATATTTAAAAAAATAGTCAGCTGGGCGTGTGAACTTGTAATGAAAATGAAGGTACTGCAGAATATGCAGCAGGCACAAAAAACATATAATATGGAGAAGGCCGAGTGGCGTGTGACTCGCGAGGTTCACAGCCTTTGACAAAGTGTGCAATGAAAATATTATAAAAATGAATGAGTCTTTTTTTACTTTTCTTCATTCACTCTTTGTTGAAGGACCCTACCAAATCAACACACAGAGCCGGACCATTTAAAAGACATTTTCTAAAAAAATTAACAGTGTCAATAAACGGGGAAAAATTGTAAAACGTTATACCGGAGTGCTAGTTAGAAGTGATCTCGATACTTCGTAATATCCAGCCTAAACGATTGCCCGAGGATTTAAGTACTGACTTCTTGATAAAAGGAGACTGCAAAGTGCCCCAAAAACTAATCAATTTTTATAGTAAAGTTATATCTACTTAATATCCGACAAAAGTTAGAAAAATCAGGTTGTCTAAAATGATTCAGAACAACTTTTTTTTACATGTTCCATGTGGAGCCATAGCACCAACCCCTGCGGGTGCGCCAGCTGACCTTCACTTTTGTTGCTCATTTATCAGTATAGATAAAAATCTAGCAGCACAAAACTACTCAAAATAGATCCCTGCCTCCCCGACTATAACGTTTCCCCATCGTCGCTATAAAACTGTTTTATACAGGGATAATAAATCGCTTAGCACAACGCTAAATTAATTCAGATTTTAAATACCTAAGTATAATTTTATTGAAAAAACTTAGAGTGACAGGAAGTCGTCTGAAGCCCACATTGACGTTTTTCATTTATTTATACAATACTTTCTTATGGCCAAAACGAGAACATCCATGAAGAAAGTGCAATTTAGATAACAGATTTATACCACATCCAGCCAATTAATATACCCGCGAACGTCTATCAAGAAGGTGAATTTAAAATTGCGCAACTAATTTAGCCTTATTTCAATGCTGTTTTTCGAACTTGTAATGTCCGGGCTGTTGAATAAACTAAAATTTAAATCACGCCACCTACACCACATTTCTATTCATAATTAAATTATAAAGAAGCATTTGATAAAAGATAACAACTGATATCACTACGCACTTATCGTGCCACACACTCACACATGTAAACATTACAAAAAAAAGTTTAATCACAGATTCTATAGAACACAACTTCCTCTGCTCACGGCTACCTTTTAGCAGATTGCTTTTCTGTTTACGTAATATTTACAATAGACGCGCTTAAGTGAAATACACTGGACAATTTGATTGTAAAAAAATAAATACAACAAAAACATTAAGCAGAAAAACATCCGACATATTCGAATTTGCAACACATTTTAAAGGTCGGTAGTTCATACACGTGTCTGTGAGCAGAGCGAAAAGCATCTTAAACGCAAGTGTATAAAGCAAAAAAAATTAAATTCGTTTAAATCCCTCAATTAATTATCTTCCTAACACGAGCTACATACATGTAACAAAAACAGCAAACATAAACAATACCTGCGGAGTTCTCCGCTTTATGACATTAAACAATTTATTATCACGAAACCGAAAAAAATGTTCAACTAGCGATAATGATAACACGCTCCATATCTACAAAGTGATTCGCTATAAAAATTCAACACATCGCTGCATATTATTCACATCGCGTTATTAGAACACATACACAATTGGACAATGATGTTCCGCGTACGCATATCACAATCTGTGTAAAGTTTGTATTCATTCTGATTTCACAAAGACTTGCAACCGTTCCCAAACGGAATGTGACAATCAAGAGGCCGGGATCAAGTTGGACCAACTTTTATCTTGAAAATTGAACAATATAGGAAAAAATGATGATAGCTGTCTTTGAAAGGCGCATTTTGAACACTAAGTAGTACACTTATACTTTTCAGTTACAAAGGCACATTCGTTATGTATAGCTGTCATTGTATAAAGAATGCTAATACTCAAGTTAAAGTTAGACATTACGCTTAAAGTAAATTTAGATATCTAATGATTTTTCATCTGTTAGAACTCAGACAAAAATGTGCCTCTGGATTGCCACAATTTCCACTAAAATTCTAAACCCACCTTACAACAGCCCCGAGGATGATACCAAGGTTAGAAACGTTGAGATATTTGGAGCTTTAAAAATGTAACCTCAGAACATTCAATTTGATTAGATCTAACAATGTGCTGAGAGAGTGAAAAATTATACATTTGCATTTGAGATGAAAACCTAAGTAGAACAATTAATTCCCGAAGAACCAGCAACAGGATTGAGGTTATACAAGTTTTCCAACTGCAATAGAATAGCTACAAGCAAGTTCTTCAGATGTTTGTTATTCCCAATTCAAGACTGCATATGCAAATGAAGCAATGTAAAAGTAAAAAGTAACCAAAAAAGTAAAATTAATGACTCTTAATGACGTTTATCCGAAAATAAAATTGACCAGTCAGTCCGAAGCTTAATTAATATTACATTAATTAAGTGATTAACATCATTCATAAAATAGTAAATTAGAATGGCGAGTTTAAAACTGGATTTAAAATTTATTTTATTCACTAAAACTCGCCGACGTTTTGACCATTTTTAAAGAATAAAAAGAATCCAGTCCCAATATCGCTTTCTGAACATACATGTAAAGTTTTGAGGAGGCTGTAACATTTCATTAAGTAATATTAACTAAAAAAATGACTTGTCATTATAAAGTTAAAATAGCTTAGTATACGGACCAACTAAAAGAATTCGGATATGCAGTCAAACCCGTTGTAAATATAGAAAGTTTAAACCAAAATAATTTGTTTCTTTGGAAACACTTTCGTCGAACAACAAAGACTCTAATATTCATATTCTTTGTCCCCTTTTCTGTATGTCATTATCAATAAAATATCTTAAGCGGCTGCTCTGAAATATCACAAGATTTCGACCTTTTTACACATCCCCGCTACGACTCAATCGTCATCACTGTTTGAACCGCTTAAAGAAGAAAAGTTTGAATCATTGCTGCTGCTGCTTCCATCCTCACTGGGAGATGTTTGACTGTCATCCATAGGATCAACACTACTGTCCTCGCTGGACAATTGAAAATCCTCCTCCGGATTAACATAGTTATGCAAATACGGCTCGTAAGCTGGGAGCAGTTGAAGATAACGGTGGCCAGCCTCTGTAAATGACCAGCCTGACCCGTGATGTCACTTTACCTCTTTTTTACGCTTACTCTCCATATCTGAAATAAAAAAGCGTTTTCTACACTAGACATTAACACATTTTCATAGCTGTTACTGCAAATGTTACTGCCTTGTTTCGTATAAGAGTCCGAGCTACTCACGCACTTTATATTTATATCATCAACAATTCATACCGAATTTCAGTACTTTTTAATACAATGCAGAATATTTTTTAAATCATCCGTAAACTCTGCTGCAAAGAAATAAATTCAAACGCTTGGATCAATTTGAAATTTTTGCCGCGAATGTTTGTTTGTGGAAAAATAGTTAACCTTTTTATTTACTAATTTAATTTGATATTTTCTTCTATTATTGTTCGGTTTTACTAAATAATCTCAGATGAAGGGATTTCATAATATAGCGCTAAAAAATTGCTATACATTTTACATACAATAGCCCACAATCTTGTACTGAAATATGTCAGTCCCAAGGATTCTGGAGAGGACAAAAACTTAACAAACAACACTAAAAGTTGCATCCTATAATGTAAGAACACTTGTATTTGAAGAAAATCTTATACAGATTGAAATGGAATTGGAAAACAAAGTTGAACATGGTAGGAGTAAGCGAGTGCCTGGAAACACTAACCACGGGACACAAACTGTACTATAAATTGTCACGACACAAAATCAGAAGATGGAGTAGATTTTTTCAAACACAAGACACATTGAAAAAAAAACTTTAAATTATAAACAGGCAATATACATAAGAGTAATCTATTTATATGACATTACGTTACAACAATAAATTCAGTGTGAAAGTCATTCAGGGATATGCACCGACCAAAAACCATAGTGACAAAAAAATGTAAACTTTCTATGAAAACATATCCAGAGCCATGAATGAAAATAAAACGCACTTTACACTCATACGTGGCGATTTCAATGCCACGGTTGGACTAAAAGCCGACCCAACAGAGATAATACTTGTAAACTATAGAAGCCCTGGCAGAAATAACCGAGGTGAAACCATGAATGATTACTTATTTTTGAGTCAACAATTACTACATAATATACTGTATTTTGACGTAAGCGCGATCTTTTTCTAATGCGTAGGAATTGAACAAATGGCATTTGGTTCGTTAGCAAATATTTGCATTTTTGTTACCGCCTCCACAAATTATTTTCGTTTTTCTTCTGCTACTGGCTGATTTTCTTTTAAAACTTTTTTGTCTTGTAACATTTTGATCAGCCTACAAAATCTGTACAAATAATTATTTGCGCTAATTAGCAATTAAAATTTGTAATTATTCGGACATGGAAAGCATGAATTCTGAATAACCGAACTAATTTAATTATTTAAACAAATGTTCAAAATGTTGTCCGTTCCCCCGAAAACATAAATTAATTCTTTTCAAAAAATGTAACTGTACTTTGAGAAGCGTGCCTGACTTGTTTTTAAAATAATCTGCAGTATTTAAAATTCTTTCCAGTAACTCTGCTTCTGTAGCGGCAGGCAAAGCAAACAAGTTTGATTTAAGACTCACAGAAAAAATTTAGCGGCGTTAAATCGGGTGATTGGGTGGCCAATTTATGGGCGCATCGTTGCCCCTTCCGATCCATCTATTAGGATATGTTTTGTTTAAAAATTTCGCGATTAAAAATATTCGCGCATGATTCACGGTTTGTATATTTGCTATAAACTCTGATACTTATCCGTCCATTTCCTTCACATAATCTTCATACTAGAAGCATGTTAACTTTCTCAGCGATACAACAAAGTTTTATTTTAGAAAAACATAAAATACAGAGTTTACGGTAAACTCGGGTTCAACTTCGCTCAACAGCAAAAACAGTAAAAACCATCGGTTTGTCAAATGCACGAAATAATTTAAGTTAAGTCAAGCATTATTTATAAACAGCAAAACAATATATTTACAAACAAAAACGAATTTTTCACAATAACGATGCTTTGGCATTGCAAATAATTTTTTGAACAGAAGCGGTGTCAGCGAAAATTTTAACAAGAGGCCAAAAATATTCAAAAGGAAATCAGCTAGTAGCAGACAAAAATTTAAATTATTTGTAGAGGGGGTAACAAAAATACAAACAATTGTCAACGAACCAAGCATCATTTTTAATACTTTCACGCAATAAAAAAGATCACAAAAACACGTCAATTTATGTGGTAACTGCTAGTAAAAACGATACTAATTTGAGAACTTTGGCGCCCTGTAGCGGTAAAATGAAGCGACATTAGATGTAGGACAGTTTGCTTAGATCGTCTCATTTTCGGGTAAAGAATTTGTGGTTAAGCGTCGTACAGTCATTTCAAGGACACCCTGTCAGAATCATTAAAATGCCCCATAAATATCGTATAAAACATAACGTGCTATCCAAAGGCAATTTGTTTCTTTGTATGTAGTCCTATTGTAACAGCGACAATTTTGGTACTTTTTTCAACAGTTTTGTACACCTTCTTTGCTGTAACTGGTTTTTTATGTTTCGCATGCTTTCCTCAGTCATCATCCTACAGTAAAACACTTATTTCGCATTTCTTGAACAGTATGCATATTATATTACCAAGATATTAGCATATTATGGTTTTACGTTATTAGCAATATAGCAATTTATATAATCTAATTTTGAGATGGCTAGGAATTCCGTGTTTCCAAAATGATTAAATATAAATCAAAAGAACAAACATTGGAAATGCTCATATGAGCAGTGACAAATTACTCAAAAGCATTAAGAATTACAGTCATAAAAAGAACCTCCAATTAAGGAAAAAAAGCAACATTTTCTAGCGACGCACAAATTTGGGTAGTCAACTGGAGAATGAGTGTAAAATTGGCAGCTTTACCATTTTGGCTTTGCGGTGTTGTGTTAATTAGAGTGTATGTCCAGTCCCTGACCAAATTCGGATTCAAAGACCATCTATGACCACGACAACCAAATTTTAATTGTAAATAATTTTGAAATACTCTCTGAAGTCTGAAGTTAAAAAATGCCAATTTAAATATGCAGATCATAAAGTTTCTAATGTTTGTTGCCTCCTCCTTAGACAATCAAGAACACAATTTCCAAAAACAAATTTATTTCATTCTGATAAGTAACCCTTTATTGTACCTTTAATTGGACTGTTCAATTATAAGTTTCCGATAGTAAGACGTCAATGTTCATGCCGATTCAATTAATAAATTTGTGAAACTTACCAGCACTTCGCGTTTTTCTTCTAAGTGCCGCCTCGGCTTCAGCATTAGTGTGTGTGGCCTGTTGCAGCTGTGGAGAATGACTTATTTGCTGCTGTTGTTGCACGACCTTTTCTCTACTTCGAGTATTTTGCGCCGGTTGCTGTTGCTTATCTTGATGCATCTGCTTGTCCTGCTGCCCTGCTCTTGCTGACCTGAAAACAGACAACAAAAATAAGCAAACTTAATAACAATATTAAGCTTGTACTGACCTCCTAATATTGGTTTTATGATTAACTTGACTAGCCGGAGTCATGTGAGGGGCTGTCTGTGCGCCGACACCTTTCGAAACTTTGATGCCTGTTTTGGGGACATTTTTTCGAAGTTTCTCAATGAGGGGTTCATCACTATCTGAGCTCTCCTCTTGCTGCTGAGGATTTTGCGAGTTTGTCACTTTGCCAACCTTCTTCAATGAATTGGTTGAATTATGAACAGTTCTTTTTCCCAATTCAGATGCTTCTATAAATGATCAAGTTAAAGATTTAAACAACAAAGATAAAATGTTACATACCAGAGCCTTTGCGAGGTCGCTTTCGCAACTCTTCTAAGCTATGGTTGGAACTGTCGCTTTCATTCCTTTTTCTTTTAGCGGTTGTAGATGGAGGAGCGACTTTGCCAATCTTCGGTGCCGGTGAGCTAATTTCAGGGCTATTTAATTTACTGAGAGCCCGTGTTCGAACTGACGATCTGAAATTAGAATTTCTTTGCAGATATTTTAAAAACGTCTGTAATAAATCAGATATTCAATATTTACCTAGCTGCTGGACTATGAGAATTCGGTGCAACAGAGCTGTGATTCTCTGATGGAATTTCAATCAGTAGCTGTTCGAGTAAGCTTTTGCTTTTATTATTGGGTTGCTGCTGCTGCTGGGAGTTGAGGGATTCCATCGAATGTCCCATATTGCTATCCTCATCTTCAGTGGTCAACATGGGACTTTCGCTACCCCCTCTTGAGTCTTGACCTCCTCCGCCCTTGTCAACAGCATTTGATGAATACGAATAGAGAACCGCCGCAACTCGAAGAGCAGGTGGGGACTTTGGCGATTGAAGCTCTTCAGTTTTCGCCGCCTGTAAGGTTTAAGAACACCTGTTGAGACCAATAATTGAAAACAAATAATTCATTAATGGGTTTAGTAATTTTGATATTATTTTTGGCGGCGTTTAATCTTCTGAAATACATTAAGGTTATTTAAAAAAATCGGTTGTTTGTCCCTGGCATGTCGTTCCCGAGCTTACTGTTGTAAATATGCCGATTATTTATAATGCCTCTTGTTGCTGATACTGCTGGTCAGGACTTTTATCAGAAAGGTATGATAAATACAGTGTAAAGGCAAAGATATCCTGGACAACGGACTGCTGTCGACAAAAGATAACATTCAAATCAATCAAAGTAATGCTTGCAATAAGAATGAATCGTTTTTATAATAACGTAGACTATTCTGGTTTTTTGGTATGTATCAGCAACGCCGAACAGAATGAATTAGTCCAGTCAGATTAGGCTTTAAATCGCCTGCTTCGGGCACTAAATAGATGAAGGTAAAAGATTATTGGAAGTTGTTTGAAAGGATGTTTGTTTTATATATAGTTTGAGCGCGATTTCCGGCTATGGAACATTGTTTGAATAACTAAAGAAAGTTCGTTTTTTGTGCATAACTTTTGAACGGTTGATGTTATTCAATTCAAGTATTTAAATTGCCTTCAATATAAGACAACAAAATTAAAATCAGTTCATTTGTTCACCCAAACAACAAGAAAAAACCGCCAATTTTTTTTGGTTTTTTWAATTTTCTATAATTAATTTAGTTTTGTTTCAAAAAAATCGTACTATAACTTTTAGCTTCAAATATTCATAACTTTTYATTCATTCCTATTTGTTAYTAAAAAAATGCTCTTGCCAGAATATAAATAAGTTCTATTTTGAGACTTCTGAGCGACTTCTCTAASGGACTATTTTACTCGTAAGCAGTTATACTACAACTTACAATAAAATAAAAGCTGATTAATGAAGGGTAAATTGTGTAAACGCTTGAGAGCTGGGAGCACGGCTCACACAAATTTCTGACTTTCAACTTAATGTTTAAACCATTTACCATTCAGTAATGAAAGTTAAGATAAAATGTATACCACTTATAAAGTATACAARRACGTTCAAAAAAGTTACAGTTATACAATTAATTATAGMAAATTWAAAAAAAACGCTTAAATCGGAGTTTTTTTTTCGTTTTTTGAGTCAACAAATRAACAGATTTTAATTTATCTCATATTGTACKTAGGTATTTTTAATACTTAAAAAAAAAAGAACGAATTTTTTTTCAAAAGCWTCAACSATTCKTAAGTTATGCGCAAAAACGGTTTTTCGCACTGTCTTTGATTATTTAAACAATGTTTCACAGCCGGAAATCGCGCTCAAACTATTGTCCCAATATTCTGCCATCCTTCCCAACAACTTCCAATAATCTTTTACCTTCATTTATTCAGTGCCCGGAAAAAATCTAATCTGACTGGATTAAATATGATGAACGACAATAGCAGTGTGAAAATTATAATACCTGATCGTCCGTATGTTCATTCATACAAAATTCACGAAGGGCGACATATTATACAAATTTACTTATGTGTCACATCAAATCTGTCTTCATTTATAATCCTAGACCGATCATCATGCAGATAACATTAACATATAAAGACTAACAAAAGTCGAAGGAATTGTTCAAAAAAATACGCAAATATGTGCAAAATATTCCAGTTCATAGGATAATCCACTTTACGATCTGTTAGTGCCTTTACGAAGTGCCATTTAAATTTACAAAAATGGCTTATTGTGAAGATTTTTTATTATCCGAGCCCTTATCTAGATATGAACGCCGGAACTTTGATAAAAACATTAAAAATTTTTCAACATTACTTTCATAACATGCAAAACGCACTTAAACTCCTCCGAAAATCGTAAAAAGTCGAGACACGTGCGTTGTCTACGTTTTAATTATTCTTTAATTAAGTTAAATCTACGATTTAAGACTTGAGTTTAAAAAAAAGCGTTGAACGGTTTTGTTATTACATATAACTAACCAATAGATAATTATATTGAATGCTATTAAATATATACTTCCACTTTAAGCAATGTTGCCGTATTATTTTGCTTTCTATTAGAATATTCAACACACATACTTCTTAAAAATTCTTTAGAACGTCAATTCATATGTTGGTTTAATTACATGTACGACCTGAAATTTTCATAAAAAAAAACGTTTTTCTTCTTCTTCTTCATATTTTAATCCTTAGGCTTGTATTTTCCAACTTAATTTTCTTGGGATATGAATGTCCAGGAGTCTTTCCATCTTTTGGGAGGTYTGCCCAGTGRTCGGCGTGTCTGTGGAATATATGTCCATATTCATTCTAGTGACSTGGTCATTCCAGGCTCTACGACGCTTCCGTCCCCATMTGACTATGTCCTCGATATGTTTTATTGCTGTTYATTTTTCAGTCGTAGAACTGAACTCGAGGTTTTCTTACTTCGGTATGGTAACGATAAAATTGTGAATCCGGCAAGCACGGTTATGGTTCACAATCCAAGGTTATCCTATACATGGGACAGCTAGAAATCGGGATCGTACGAACGTCTAAAATCTCTGACCAATAGAAACACTTTCGTACCATCGTATCATAGTATAAACGGATGCATAGGAGACAGGCTTATGCCGAAAATAAGACCCTGTCATTGGCTGGCCATGCGACGCTTAGTATGAAGAATACCAACAACAGAACTACTATAACCTAACTTTGACTTGTTGTTTACTTATTTATTTTTGTAGTATTGGCAGACTAATTTGGTATTGGTAACTTTAACTATTTAAAAAAATGTATAATTAATCATTGTGCTAGCTCTTGTCATCGTATATTTGATCTTTGGCTATTCAAAGCGGGTTTGTTTGCTATGATTACAACGATTTTGTGATTGAAGATTCGAAGTAACAAAGGGAGTAAGCACCAAAGAGTGTTTCAAGATAATTAGAAGGATATTCCAGGAAACAAGTTAGGCACTGGGCAGTGGTACATCTTTGGTATCAGATATAAAGCCTAACATGAAGATTAGCACATAGCCCTTTGGTAAAGGTGCAAAGCTACCACTTGCCCCCTGGGTTACTTCCACTCTTCGATTATAAAAAGTTCATCAATTTTTCATGCCATTGGATATTGATAATGGTACTCAAATAGCTACATTCGGAATTCCAGGTGTACAATGTGCTCAAAAGCATGGAGTTACCAAAAGGCAAGTTGAGAAAAAAAGTTTTTCAATAGGCACATACGTTCATTGTTATAGAAAACTGACAAAAGATTACCTAAAACAATAACTGAGAATGCTTGAATAGCGGGTTTGGAACTGGATTAAAAACTCCTTTTCTACTCTAAAAACGGGCAACATTGAGACTCTTTATTCGTTTTTTGACGAAACAGAAATAAATATAAAATACCCGAGCTTTATGCAGCCAACCAACTATTTGTTGATTTAATTGAAAGGTTATAAGCGTTGTTATTATTGCGCAGTTGGCGTCGCATGGACAGCCAATCACAGGAGCCTATTTTCGGCCTATTCTGTAATACTGAGGGAAGCACAGTACAGTTCTCTTTATATATTGTAACGGAAATGGCCTGGGGTACTCACGTTTGGAATGGGGACCGAGTTTTCCGTTTGTTATTGTTATTGTTTGTGAAGTTGACGTTAATTTAGAAGTTAGTTTGTTACCGTTCCGTAGCTAAAGTTATACCGAGTGGAATAAGAGTTGGAAGCACAAGTAATAGTTTGATACTCGGCCATCCACGGTACATTTGGTGTCAGAAGTGGGATTTACCAGAATCCAAGTTGAATTTTGATGGAAACAAGAAATAAATCAAAGAAGGAAGGCCCTGCAATGGAGAACCCCAGTTTGATTGCACTGCTCATGCAGATGAAAGACGAAATAAGCAAAATGAATGACAAAATGGAAGACAACAGGAGGAAAATGATGGACGAAATGAGCGACAAAATGGAAAACAGTAGGAAAATTATGGATAAAATGGACGACAACGCTAAGAAATTTGAAGACCTGAAGACAACCGTTGAAGACCAACTAAAGAACATCGAGGAAGACAGTGTCAAGTTCCAGAAGATTTTGAAAGAAGTCAATACGAAGTTTCAGAACGATGTTAGAGATGAAAACATCAAGTTTCAAGACAAAGTTAAGACAAGAAATAATCAAAATTAGACAAGAAGTAACCCGGTACAATGCAGGATCTGATAGAATAAAATTTGAGGCGCAATCTCCAAGCAGCAGTAAACTGAAGCCGCCAACATTCGATGGTAAAGTCGCACGGTCCACATATTTATGCCAATTTGAAGCCGCTGCAGTAGTTAACGGGTGGAATGATCAGGAGAAGACAACATCACTTATTATTTCCCTACGAGGCGAAGCAACGGAAATCTTACGATCAATACCACAAGATGACCGTAAGAACTATCAGGCCATGCTTGAAATTTTTCAAATGAGGTAT